GTTTCCAGATTTTGATATGTAGAGGAAAGAGGACGTCGATGTAATCTGTTGTTTATTCCTGTCTTGGTTCCTTGTTGAACAACCGTGAATGTCCAGAATACGGATAAAGTGGCACTCTCTCCGATAATAAAATAAACCAATATGTCGTCACTTCTTGAGAAGGACTTTATTTTGTAAACTAACCGATTTTTTCAATTACTATATTATGTTTAGATAACTCTTTCAACCAGCCTGAATCAGTAGTAAACATGTTTTGTTAGTGTGTAGACCTAGTACTTCAATGTTCTTATATCGGTACCGGTGCTTTAGTACTCGACATCCTTATACACTGTGCTATGCTGATAATTTTGAATAGGGTGGGAGTAAATTTATACAAAATTCACAACATGGTTGCATGCATTTACATTATTCAATATGGTATAGTTAAAAACGCTTATTTGTTAGCATCCAAGTACCGCTGACTTATCGCGTGAAGCAAGACCAATTCTCGTGGCAAAATGTCCTTGTTTTGTTTCCATAGTTACAGAAATTTTTATTATACTAATATACTCTCATTATTCTATATGATAAACGCTAAAATTATCATAGTCGATGATTTGTCGAGCTGCAGGAACATTAGCAAAGGATACTAGTAGTACAAAATAACATTTTGTTCAGCTTGCTTCAGTACATGGAAAGGTTTTCTTATTCTAATGGACTTACTCTCGCGAAGACAACGATACTAATTGAAAAGTTGTCTCTCCAATAAGAAAATAGTTTTTTTATCGATCATTCTAACAAAAGACGGATATGACTATGCTTAGCCCTTTGTTTCTGATTTAACGTTTGTGCACATGTATACTATGTGATGCTGACAAATATATTTATCCCCAATCACATGCTTTTTGAATAATAATTTTCATGACGACTATATATATAAATGTACATGTGCATGCATGGACATATTCACCATGTAGGGGCCTATATAAAATTTAAAAACGCCAGACATTTAAACCCTGACTGTGTTCCGTATTTCCGATTTCACAACCATGTACTTCCGTGATCACCAAGCCCGTATATTACAACACAATAACTACGGTTTTGATACGGAGAAAATATGCTACAGATGTGTAATTGACACCCATCAATAGGCGTATGTATCAAAATCGGAGTTGCCCGTATTAAGTTTTTTCTACGTTTCTACGTTATACAGTTGGTTGGCACTGTGTCCGTTTGTGTGTCCGGTTTTCACCCCCGTAACCCCGTTTTTTCTAGACTTTTAAGGAGAGTGTGATGGTTGAATAAGTAAGTATAAAGCGACATCTTTATAGATTCTTATGTATAGACGGGTAAATATCTACATGCTTTCATTCTATTTTTAGTGCTGCTTTGCTGTGCTTTTTTTGTACTACTCGGTGCAATCTTCCGTCCCTGTGATTGCAAATAGTTAAATGTACATTATATACGTCACAATCGTTATATGTGTTTCTTTAATCCTTTTAATGATAACATTTTTGTTGAATCCTGTTTGGGAATTTTACGATAACAAAAATTAAGAATATAGTAACATTTTTATACCAAAGCTTGTAATGGAGCTCTCGGTCTCCAAAAATTTAATTCTACACACTACACAGGGCATTTGCAATCCTTCGTGTAGGACCACTTAAGACATAGGTTCTATGATTTCCGTCTTTGAATGGGATTTACTTGAAGTTGTCCATTTATAAGCAAAAAGTACGTAGAACAACCAAAGAATGTATGTAAGGATGTATGAGTTCTTTTTTTAAATATTCAGATTCCTCCAAATATCGATTTTATCTTCCGGGAATGCTGGTTTATACATTTGAAATCTTGACATCTGAGCAAGGGCATATGGCATATAATGTTATGATAGACATGTTTCAGTTGAAAATCGGAGAAATGGCCGGATGATTGATTTAAAACAGTCTAACTACATACATGTTGAACAGAAATGGGATGCGAGGTAAAAGTTTATATCTCATGAATGGATTAAGGTTATAATTTTGTCTTCTTTAAGGTTTTCTTGTTCCCTTATTGCAATTGAATTATAGACTTCATTTGCAAGATAGCGATACATAGATGTTAGAGACTATTTTAGCCATTGTCAACGCTTATTTATGGTCCAACCCTCTCAAAATATTTACCGAGATAGAGTTCTGTTACAACCCCTCAATAAGTGATTTATACCATTAAAATAAATATATTTAGCCACAGAAATCCCATTCATTTCTCTCCCCGGCGATTGACCTTCAGATTGCTTTTTCCAGCATGTCAAGGTCACAATCGCAGCATCTTCTCTGCTTTGTTCTTGCAAAAACACAAGAAATGAATTGTTGAAAGGAGCAATTACCATGTCAAATTGGCTTGTTTTTGCCAAATATACCAATCATCACTAGGAAAAGAATGTTTTCCTCATTTTCCGCAATTTTTTTTATGGAGTGCGAATTGGTTAAGACGGCTCAGTGCTAAATTTGTACGGGATTTGAGGTCTATGAAGAGCTTTTCAGGACCTGTCCTTGAGTGCATATAAGTCAATGGCCTGAGAACATTCATGTTCACAAAAAATACCTTTGGTCACATGCTAAGCATGGACATATTGTCTGTGTGTATTAAGATTAAAAAAAAAGATTGTGGACACAATATACGAGACGAAAAATGCAATAATCTTTACAAATTCCAAATTTCGTAAGTACATGTAGAGAGAGAGAGTTTTACAATAATTGTTACAGTCAAGCAATTTGTAGTAATTGTCTTTAAAAGCATTTTCTAGTCAATTGTATTGATGTTAATAGCGTATGCACACGCCGACAAAACCCATCATTTATCGCCGTGTATCTGAACGAGAAATCTGCTAAACTTTAATCAAAATCTTTCAGCAATGCAATGCCAAATGTTTAATCTTGAAAATATTTTTTTATCATCAAAAACGAACTTTTAGCGGCATTGAAACGATTTTTACATGACGAACACTCTTGCAGTGTCAGAATATTTTTAAATTTATTTTTTAAAAAAATTGCTGACTTGGAGGAGAGAAAAAATAATATCGCTGAGTGAAAAAAGTGCAGAAAACAGCAGGAAACTTTCCCCATTTCAACTGCTATTTTGATATGCAGAAGATATTTATTTGATGGCACGGCTGTTTGGGAGTCGCAAGGGTTCATCATAAAGTTCTGTTTTACCACAATGAATATGTTTATCCCTACTTACCGCCCGTAAGCGGATATTTGTCAATGTGCTTTTATGTACATCATCCTGACGTAAATCAACTTCGGCCGCGGGTCAGTTATGCGGCGATTTGTAAAAGCTTCGGACACGCCAGCCCAGGGTCGGAGACCCAGAGTCTACATGCTCCAATTAAAACTGACAAAATTGATAACAAATAAAATTGGATAGATGACTTGGAATTTCAGTATCTTTAAGTTCCTGTATTTGCTTTTGAGTTGATAAGAACGTATTGAAGACAAGGAATTTTTAAAACTATAGCTTTTGTGAAGTTCACACTTAGGTATTAAGTCTGAAGATAATATACATTTTTATCTTATCTTTTGTTTAATTATGCTCAATTCTTGCTGATGTGGTTTGTCACATCTAATAAGTTAGAGACCTTGCTCGATCTCTTTATAGTTAAAGCCGGACTGAAAATAAATGACCTCTTAGCGCCTCTATATTTATTATACATTTTTATTACACCAAAAAACATAAACCTGGCATGTTCTCTTAACCTTGAGTTGACCATCACGTTTCTTTTGACCACGTTTTTGTATCAATTTGAAAAACGGCAAAATCACAATCCCATATACTACATGTAAGTAACGCTTAATTAAATATACAGTAAATGTGTTTTATGACCTCCGCCACGACACAGAATATTAATTATATCTTATTTGTTTTTTGTGTAAATAAGGTGATATTAATCACCCAATTAACGTCTGACAAAATGCAGTTTTACCTGATCTTGACAGAGGTCGAAGTCCGAGGTGAGGGTATGTCTGCCCACTTATCAATCAGAAAATAGTCTAATATTGTAATACTCAAATTTGGAAGACTGGACACAAGGGAAGAATTTAAATTAAACCAAAATTTCAAAAAGATTGTTATTTCTAGGTCTTAAAGGTTCAAAAAGGCATTTACTTGTATTAAAACTATGAAAGAATGAATGGGCAAAGAGAGATAACTGCTGAGAATGTTACAGTAAACTGGGAAGGCAATTTGTCTTGTTACTTATTTTCGGGTGATTGACCTGTCCTTTTAAATATGCCAAAATGATTTGAAAACAAAAAGTATATATTAAGATAATTAGTTTTATTTTTTTAATTATTTAAAGCCCAAAAATCAAATTGTAAAAAGTTCTTATTGAATTTATATAGAAGAAAAGGATCGCAATATTTTTGCTTGCTGCAGAAAATTTAGAGGTTTATCTTTATCTGTGTTAATGAACACCTTTGTCAACTGATTGGAAGTTGAGGTCCATATTTGATTCAAGTATGCATTCACAAATACACATTAAATTTAATAAGTGGATTATTTTTTATGTTAATACAAGGTTACTATTTACAGGTTTTTGGACATTCAGGAATTATCTTGAAATTTTAAAAATGCAGTGGTTACTTATAATCTTCATATATTAAAAAAATGTAATCAAATAAAACTCTTACAAAATTATTTTATGTTGGCGAGTACTAGGTGATTCAAATAGGCATTTATTAGAGAAGTGTGGAGAGGGCAGGTATATATGTTGCTTTTTTTTTCGGGTGATTGACCTGTCCTTTTAAATATGCCAAAATTTTTGAAAACAAAAAGTACTAAGTGCTTAATTGGAACCCAAAATCATATTGTAAGGAATTAAGGTAGCGACATTTTTTTGGGGTGGGGGGGGTCTTATGTTTATCATTTATCAATAAGTTTATTACTGATTATATTCAGACAATGTATGATTGAATCAGGCAAGTATGCATTCACAAATTGTAATTTTATAAGTGGATTATTTTTTGTCTTTTCAGATTAACAATGGCGACGGGTCCCCCTAACTACAAAATTATTTTATGTGGCGAGTATGGTGTGGGGAAAACATCTTCTTTATGTGATTTGACACTGGAGACCGGCGAAGTACTACATTTGTATAACATATGTCATCACACTGTGATTTGATATGTTCTGTCTGGCATATCTACAATTCTGTAAAGAATGTGGACGGATTTAAATCTTTTTTGCCTTAGAAATCCAGCAACCGTTATCATTAACTCGATCAGTCAGTTCATAATCTGTGTTCCTGGACAAGTACATTGAATAATGTTGGAATTTTTGTATAGACTTACTTATACACATGTACTTAAAAAAAATTTACTGAATGTAAGAATGAACTTATTTTCTTAGATCAAAGTCAGATAAAAATAATCTCATTTCAACCTGTAAGATAAAAAGTACACGTGTATATATTGCATGTGGTGTCGTTTTCACGAGGATATCCGAGGTACGAGGGAGTGCTATCGTGTTCCGTCTGTTAACAAATAGGCCACTATCCCAGAAAAAAAAACCGAGGATTCCTTTTTCATTCCCTCGTTTCAGGAAAGTAATAGATATTTTTTAAACACGTTTGTCATCTCATAAGGAAGTTATCTTCTCTTGTTATAGTGCGAAGTGACTTTAAGCGGGGTATATAATTACATGAACATCTGATTTCAGACTACTTGGGTTTCTCTTTTAGAATCATTGTGACGTCAATAAAGTGATTTGCGTTATTGTTCATTGTAGATTTTATTGCCACTTCTGGTTACTTGATCGATTTTCGACACAAGATTTGTAAAATTTCAGAGTAAATGTGTTAAGTGTACTTTACCTATCAAAAACGTGAATATGTCTATAAAGAAAACGTGATAAAATCAGGCCACACAGTCGTTGTGTCTGAGAAAAAAAGTAGATAAATTCTCTTTTTCTCTCCTCTGAAGTAACTTAGGAAAAGGTTAGGATTAATACAGATAGAATCTTGTATTTTTGGATTCGGGAACTTAATTAGAAGTTTTCCTCACATCAGTTAAGAATGGTGATCGGGTTAAAGAATCATTTACAAGTGTCAAGAACCTTAATTTCGCTTATCTAACGAGGGAATAACTGACATAGTTTAGTAGCTGATGTTCAGGGTCAATTTAATTTAAGTACAGTTCTGATGTTTTATTTGAAAGGCTTTTAAAAAGCAGAATAAAATGAACTTTGGTATTTTTTTTTTAAATTTGCTTTACGACAAAATGTCGTGTGAAGAATAGACTTTATACGTTTTCAAGAAATGATGCTCTTTCAATATACAAGTGAAAAGTTGAAAATTTATCGATTAAAAAAAAAAAACGAAAATTTATCGTCCTTAAAAAATTTGAATTTTTCACTAAAAAAACAAATTTTAATTGAAAAATTCAAATTTTTGTAGAGGAGCATTCCATCGTAGAGAGCTATAGATGTACGTATCTATAAATTAATAATTAAAAGAATAGTTGTATACCGTGTGACTTTTTAATTGTCTTAATGAAGCTATGACGGTCACCGCATCTTGATAAACTTAGTCGAAAAACCCGGTCTATTTCAACCAAAATAGACAATCAATTGTGCAAGTAATTTTTTGTTCTGTAATCAACCCCATGAAATACGTCTATTCCAAATATTTTGTGTATAATCTTGTGTTTATAATCTAGAAAAAGAATTAACATCGAAGCTAGACGAAGTAATGCAACATGTCAGTTTTGTCAGATTTTTTTTGGTCAAAATTTGTATTAATTATGTTTTATTCACAAAGATAAAATCACCCATGATGTAGGTATGTATAGATTTTAAAACGTAAAAGCATTATTTAAAAATTATTTGACAGCTAGCAGCACATGTACACTTGTGAAAGCGTTTGAAAGGAATTGTATAGGCAATCTGCATTGATTCAGAGGAAAATAGATATGAAAGAATTGAAAAATGGGTCAAATATTTTTCAAGTACAAAAGTGACCTTGTATTCATATTGCTTTGCTTTCCCTCCAAATAATTGAAACAGGTGTACTTAACCAGGTTCCACCATATGGTTTTTGTGAAAAAAAGAGAAAAATTGGCATGCTTCAGATAGATATAGAACAACTGACCAATGTCTGACATTTTATTTATTAGGATATGCCAACTGCATTTTTTCTAATCATCTTTCAAAAAAAGAAACACTTCAGATATTTTCTCCAATTGAGATTGGTCTACAAACATCTGTTTTTCTTATAGAATTCAAAATGATATTTGACAAGAAGATTCAGTCCTATTTGAATTATGTTTGTAAAATCGAATATATGTTGACATGATATGGTATGCATTACAATACTTTAAATTGGCCTGAAGATAACTTTTAAAGATTTTTAATTTTTATTTCAGTTAACACTGTGGGACACGGGTGGAATGGAAAGGATGAGTTTCATTGGTTCCAGCTATTATCGAGGTGCGCACGCAGCCTTATTATGTTATAGTATTAAAAACAAAGACACCTTCACAATTCTCTCACAGTATATCTTAGACATAGTCATGAACGCCGAAGGCGCCAAAATATTCCTCTGTGGCAATATGGCGGATTGTGATGGCGAGGACCAAGTGACGGACGCTGATATTGAAAACTTCGAACGCGAGTGTGGGGACGTTTTATCCGGAATGTACAAAATATCTTGTAAAGACAATTCGGGGGTGTTCGATATGTTCAAAGACATGGCCAGAGTTCTCCACCAGGAGGCTCTCGGGAAAATGACCTTAAGACGAGAGTTGAACGTGATTCGGCCCGGGGAATCTCCAGAAAATGAAGAATCACAAAAGAAAAAATGTTGTTGAATAATTGTTTGTGTTCATGTAAATGTAACTTTGTGTTGATCAGTCATATTTGTGTATTTTACATGGAAGATAATGCTTTGTTTTGTAAACATCGAATATTTACATGGATTGAAAACGTGTTTTTGTTTCAAATCTTCAATGCATGCGTATAGATGTAGTTGTCCTGTATTGATGTATTTATCTTGTACCTGATTAATCATGGATACTTACATCATGATCATGATACACATGTTATCTGGCACAAAGTTAAGTACATCTACCTGTTCACATATTTTTCCATTTATCATGATTTTCATGTTTTAGTTCATAAATTTCATGAACATGGACCACAGATTTGAGACCAGCGCTCGAATTTTATTATAAAGCATATATACATGTATCATATTCTTGAAACAAAGAAGTTTAAGTGTAACTATAGTAAACTTTGAAAACTGTATGTTCTTGCAAGTTGCACTGGATATACAATTTGATAAATCACAATGCATATTGGACGGATTTTTAAATATAATATGTTATATTTTTTGTTTGAATTTTAATGTTTTCATGCACCAAAGGTTCTAATTTTAATAGCAAACTTTTATATGAAATTCTATTTACATATATGTAATGTACTTTTATCTATGTCTATTATATTTCAAACTGTCCTGTTCTATAACTTTCACTTTTAAAATGAAAGTGCCTTTAATTTTTACATTAACTTGTATACTCGTGCATTTTTATGTCTTCCTCTCTCCAGTATTATTTGTGTAATAATTATTTAAGTGTAGATACCACTTTATTGACGTGTATTTACAGAGGATATATCTTTGGATATACCTGTTGTTGTAAAATATTGTTCTCAATTGGATAAATAAATGAATCAGAAAGACATTGAAGAATCACGAGTTTTTCTTCGGATGTGACCATATTAACCAAGGTCACGTGTCGCAAAATGTTGCTGGCATGAAAAAGATCCATCACTGCCAAATTAGTGGAGCCTCGGTATAAATGACGAGGTAATCCTCCAAACAACATCTGTTAAAGAACCAATAGTTTGTTTGAAGTACATGTACATTGACCGATTTTTTTTAGAATTACGAAACAAAATACCTGCGTATCGAATTTATTATTGACCATATACTTAAAAGTCATATAAACTGATCTAATCTGAAGTATGTTTTTATTTTGCTTACATCTTAAAGATATGCAAATATACAAACCATAATACTTAAGAGAGATTTTTTTCCTTATATACACTGTTTTCACTGTATCAGAATTTCTGTTCAGAAATATGGATGACCACGGAGAAGAATTGACCACTCAGTTGATATCAGTTCAATCAAATCTATATTTAGACAAAAACTGAATAGTTCGCGTGAATAAAATTTTCAGTGCAAAAATGCTTTCTAGCAATGGGATTTTTACCATCATTCGGCAAACTGAAACAAGTCCCAAACCCCAAAGCTTTCCTCCGAAAAACACCAAAGCCGAAGCGCCTAAGCTTACTGTAACTTACATTTTAAAATACTAGTATAACAAACGGTGATCTATCTCGCAAAAACGATACAACCCTGTAAACAGATAATAAAACACGGACCCCGGGAAATTTCAGAGTGGGATCAGGTGCTTAGGAGGAGTAAGCATTCCTTGTTGATCATAACACTGACTGTGATCTTTTTGATCTGGTACACGGAACATTCCGTCGTCAAATCATTGTTTATAGTGAATACTCAATAGAATATAAAAATACGAAGCAAAAGTGGCAGACTTTAATTTCTTTTATAAATTCAATGTTTAAAGGAAAGAAACTATAAGTATTTGAAGAAATGTCTTCCAAATATCTAGGTTAAATGCCTGGGCAGTGTTCTTTTTTCTTCTTATGTAGAAGTTTTTGAATAAATTTTGCTTCATTGGAATAAAGAAACAAGTCGGTTGATAAACGAATACTTTTAGTGGCCATCAGACTTCAAAATTCGTTAGGAGACCTGTCCTTGGGGCCATAAAACGTAGTGAGCTGACTTTTTGGTCTCTTACTCTAGTCTTCTTTTTACCATAGAAAAATGAGATGAGATCAAAAGTGAGTTCGTCTGAGATTTATGGCCCCAGGCCTGGTCTCCAAAGACTTTACATAAATGTTGTCATTGGGAACTTCAGCATCCCTTTAGTATCAACCTCAGAGTACTTTGGTGTATAAAGCATGGCGATTTTGTTGATGACCAATGAAATGATATGAAAATTCTGATTTCCAATTTTATTGCAGAAGCAGTTTTCTATGATATCAAAACGACTAAGTTATAGTGAGAATGGTTGTATAAAGTGTTGAAAATTAAAGTGTTTTATAAGATAGACTTTAGAATAAAAGAAACTAGGAAATAGGTAGAGCAAACCCAACTCAGTTGAATGGAATATTAAATTAATTAAACATTGAAATGTGATTTTGAAAAGAAAAATCATCCTAAAAACGAGTTTTAAATACCTGTAACATCAACGTATCTAGCTTTTAATACACATGTAGCTCGAATTGGATAAAAATTTGCTAGTATTCAGAGCATGCTCTCGAGCATCGAAAAAATTGTAAGACTAAACCTTTTAGGCATATGATAGGGGAAGATTACTATACAAATAAGGACAGATGACGATAGAAAAGCAAAGAGGTACAATTTCCAAAAAAAAAAAATCTATAATGAACAATACTTAATGTCCTATTTGACCTATCGTATGCATTATATCAATTTAAAAAAAACCTTTCAATTCTTGATTTTTAGCCGGGCTTATTGCTCAAAGAGCAATTGCCGGCTTCAAGCGGAGCGCGCCCTCTGGTGAGAGATTGTTGCCGGCTTATGTGATCCTGTTCAAGGCAGGATGTTGACCCCATAGTCGCCATTTTAAAGTTACGTGCAAAAATATAAAAAATCTATAATGCTTTTGAGATAATACAAACGCTAAATAAAGCAACAAAAATAAAACGAAGTTTTATTTATATAAAATAAACATTAGTAGTAATGACTTTGAAAACTTCATAGGTCAAAGAACATAGTTCATTATAAGGATTTTTGATGAATCAGTGTTACCGTAGTGCAGATTAATTCTGATTCTGACAAAATCGGACCGTGGTATTAGGATTGAAAAACTCACTGGCAGTCTTATCATTTATATTGATAGTTTTAAAATAATTTTTTCTATAAACGATTTTTTTTTTTTTATCTGCAAGGCTTGCCAAGCGTAAAGAGACGATTGAAACAAATTTAAACCTTTCAAAAAACATGCACATAAATAATGTAGTCATGAAGCGTTTCCCCACCTTGGACCACGAAGGCTTGGCAAGGATGCATTTTTTTCTTTTTTATTTTGATACTTGATACTTTTAACCTTTTACTTTTTACCTGGAAAAGATGTAATATTTCTGCATACAAGGACATCGCACTCCTGGACAAGAATCATCAAAGTTGTCGAGATCTTGTCAAGAAACCACTCCAACATGATAAACCATACTGGAATTTTTTAATAATTTGCAGGACACGCAGATTATGCCGATTGTAACCAGTGATTTGTACAAGATGGAAAGAGGGAAAGTTACGTAATAACATTTTGTGAAACAGGTTTTATGTTTTATTTCTCTCTCCACACCGAATTATGATAAGAAGCTTAAGGCAGTAAAATAAATTGATTTATGTTTATACCAATTCCAAATAATGTCTTGTCTATATTTGTTTAAAGGTAGGATTGACCCTCTAAATACATTTTAGTGCATTGCTTGTCTGCACTATTTCAACATTGTCCATGTATATTTATGTTATTTACCATCCGTGGAGCTAGAAGGTTTTCTTATCAGCCAACTAAAAATTACCATTTCAAAACATTAAAACTTGAATATTATTATTCTGGCATTTTTTTTTTCATTTTGCAAAACTTCAAAACCCCACATGACATAATGCAGATATCTCGTCATGATAATAATTTTTAAATTGAGAACTAGCACATTTTTTGTGCAGAATACTACACATTTTCCTCAGTGGGTGGTACTTCTCCTGTCGTCTCTTATAATTTTTCAAATTAGCGAACTTCAGATTTGCAGGTACATATAAGCTTTAAGTCACCACAGATTACAAATAAACAAGGGAATGTAGTTCAATTGATGAACATTTCATATATACACAAAATTAAAATGCTGAACTTTATCAGGACTGGAAAATGAGAGAGAGAGAGAGAGAGATTGCTTCTAAATGCTACTGAATGGTGCTTTGAGACGATAAGAATATTAATAATAATTTTTCTGGAAGAAGAAAAGTCACTATCCATTCTGGGCCTGTTTTTAAGTGAAGCAGTACCTAGCAAAAATTCATTTACATAAATAATCCAGTCCTAGAGTGTTTCCTGATCTTATACCAGGAGGGCTTGACAAAGAGACAAAAATGCGACATTTTTTTTTATAGACGTAATGCTTTTAACTTTTTACAGTAAAACACGTTTTACCTGAATATAAATATAGCGATATACGGATATAACGAAGTTTTTCTGCTCCAAAATTCTTAACAAATCTTTGTAAAATTTTACGGTTATAACGAACTCTGATACATCGAATTTACGGATATAGCAAACTGATTTTGAGTCCCGTTGAGGTTAAATATAATGAATTTTACATCTTTTATAACGAACTTTCAAAGATCTCAAAATTTGATAAATTGAACTGACTTTATTTTCTATAAATTCAATTCATAATAAAACCTTAGTTATTGAAGGTATGTTTTGTAATATTTGCTTCCCTAACATATTTGATAGTAACACTTGAAGTAGGGCTGGGTATTGGCCTGAGATTTCGTATTGCGATATATTGCGATATTTTTAACTGTATTGCGATATGTATTGCAATATTTTCAAGGTAATAGAAATGGCATTTTCATACTTTATTTATTTTAATTTACATGCAGAATGTACATCACTATGATAAGTAACCAACACGGACAAAAAAATCTTGTTGATTTAAGTTAAGTTATGCTCTGAAATGTTCCCACAAAACAACTTCTGACTTGCTGTTTGGCTAAATAACAAACTTTTATAAGTTCATTTTTATTTTTAATGACAAAATTCCTTAATCTAAGCATATTGCCAATATATCGATATTACAAAATCGTATTGCGATACGATATTTTTTGTCGATGTATTGCAATATATTGAAATATCGATATTATTGCCCAGCCCTAACTTGAAGGAAAACATGCATATTACGAATTCGCTATATATGGTCATACGAATTCTTTATACGGATATAACGAATTACGGATATAGCGAATTAAATTTACAGATCCCCAGGACTTCGCTATAACCGAGTTTTACTGTATACTTTTTACCTGTATATAAATAATATATATCTGCTTACAAGGACATTGCTCCTTTAGTACCAGAAGTTGTCGAGATCTTGTAAAGAAACCACTCCAAAACGAGTCACAATGTTAAGATCAGATTAAGGTATTGTTATATAATATCGAAGAGAAGCTTGCAAACCGCCATTTTTACAACATGCAAAAAGGGAAAGCTACAAAAATTAATAACATTTCGTTGAATTTTTTTGATTTGCTTTCCAATCTCTCCGCATCGATACCAGATAGAAGGCAGTAAAAATAATTTTATTTATGTTTATATCATTTTAAAAAAATGTCTTGTCCATACTTTTTAGTATAGGCATGGCTAGGCCTTTTAAATACATTTTAATGCATATAATGTCTGCTCAATCCCGACATGCAGGTGCATGTTTATAGATTATTTTATTTACCATTTGTAGAGCTATACGTCTTTACATATCAGCCCCCAAAGAAAGTCACCATTTTTAAAAATAATTAATAACTGACACATCTTTTTCATATTTAGATATTTTACTTGAAAAGACGTTAATG